CTGCTGATACTTAATTGTTTTGCATTTTAATGGACTGTTTTTAACTTTGTTCAACATTGACTCAAAATCGGCATAGACTACAAAAGGAGTTGTTTGTTTATAAATATGATTTTTAAATTCAACATTCTGATATGATGGAAAAGAAACTTTACATTCATTAATTTTCTCACAGTATTTTGCATGATCATTTAATCTGTCAAAACTACTAAAATAATTCAAACACCTATCACATAAAAATTTTTTATTACGGTTCTTACTTAACTGCCTGGACATAAGTCGAGACATATCTTTAATCATGCAATAATGATACTTAATTTCTACAGATTCATCGTGAGCCATAGGTGCTTCGTAGTCATTCAATTTTGGAAAATATTTATCTTGTACAATCAATAAATTTACATGTTTAGTTAATTTGGTTTTGCATAGCCTTACCGGCGTTGTTACGTAAAATGTTCTCTCTTTAGCAACATTCATTTCTAACCCGTACACGTTTACAGAAATATTATTTAACTTTTCAAATTTTGAAATACCCTTTATAGTCATAGGTGTCTCTAGCCCATCGATATTTAAGACAGTCGCATAATGTGGATATGAAGATGTACGATCTGAACTGCATTTAGCTGGATAAATCGCTGAAACTATGCTCCAAAAAAAGCATGCTTCATCATCGTTTTTGATATTAATACATGCGTGCTTCTTTTGGATTTGTTCTGGTAGTCTAATGAACGATGAAGCTCCATTTCCCACTTCATATTTATTTATATTGACTTCTAAAGAAACTATTTTTTTCAAAGCCCACCCTGATCCCGTTTCTTCAAATTCCGATAGCTTAGACATTAATTTATCAACTATGTTTGTGTGAAACCATAAAACCAAGTCCGTTCCTGCGTCTATGGCTTCGTTTTTGGTATTAAAATATTTAAATTGGTTAATATCACCTCCTTGATTTGATTTTCTAATAAATTCTCCACATAATGTCATATTACATTTTATCATATTTAATTTTTTTAAAATGTTTTTAATTCGAATTCTAAATAACTTAAAACAATCTCCGAAAAATTGCATTAAATCTTTGTGTCCTAGATTAATAATTATACCTGTTCTGATTCTACTCTTGAATGCGGAATTTACATCTTCCCATTTAACCCGACGATGTTTAGTAATTCCACCACCCACGCGAAGACCGAAATTTTGAATTTCCGATTTAATTGTCTTTAAATGCCCCGCGTTTGTCTGTAGTTGCCGTAATTTAGCTAATTCCAAGTCCCCACACCGAATCGCTTTAGTAAACAAAGTCAAATGCCTTTTAATGTGATTTAACCAAATATTCGCTTCTCGCGGTGTATAATTTCGAAACAAAACATCACGCGCTTTAATTAAATGTTGTACAATGTCATTACTAAGATCACCAATGTTACTCATGATTAAGTAAAAAGCAATAAATCAATAAATGAAAAACTCACCAATATTTTTTTTATCCTCTAATTTTCTATTATTTCAAACGAGGCGGCTGGCTGCACCTTTCCAGTGGCAACGTTTCCTCGGAACACCAAGCTGTACTTTCCCTCGCTGAAATGTTCCAAATGCGGCCTGTAGAGTTCAACCACCCTTTGCGGCAAGAACGTCACCTCCTTTTCTAATTCAATAAGGATGGATTTCCCAAATTTCGTATCGACTTCTCTTGCCGCAATTATCTTCTGGGGTACTCCTACGGGTAGGCTGTTTAGCTTTCTAATTGGCTTGATTGTCTTCTCTGTAAGCAGAGAGGATGCATTAATCTTTTTTAGGTCCATCTGCAACAATATATATTTTCTTAATTTAACAGTAACATATCTTTGACTAGCAATTTCTTAATTTAACAGTGAAATATCTTTGAGTAGCAATATTATTTTACAAAAATTCTATCTATTATAATATGTATATTTTTTAATTTAACAATGAAATAGTTTTAACTAACAAAACTTTCATAGAAACAAAAAATTACAAATACCGCACTATTTACAAACATTTTTTTTTTTTTAGAACGGAGAATATAACCAAGTAATTTGAATAAAATGTTTAAATCAGAAAAATTATTAAGAATTGGAAATTAGTAAAGATAATGATGAATTCTAAATGATATAAAAAAGGTTAAGTATTATAAAACTTACTTTTGTATATATAATTGCCGGCACTTCACAAACACAGAACTTCTCCGAACGGTACTTTGTATAATTGCTGACGCTGCACAAAACACACAACTTGTCTGAAGGATGATCAGAATTGAACTGACGATATGTAGTGCATCTGCTCTTTATCCAACAGCCTCTCCCACGCTAAAACTATGTTGCGCAATATTTCGTAAGACTATTCATTTATGCATCACATGCCGGGCTTAATTATTAAATACAACGGATTATGCACCTGCTTCCTGCCTCCATGCGAATATATTTTATCTTACATTAAATAATCGAATTGGAATGTGCACGTGTTTCCGGCTATATATCGTGATCGCGTGAGACATTTTTAATAGCCGGCGTATCCGGGTGATGTCATTATTCTCAGTAGCATTCAACTGATCATGTAAAGTATAAATTGAAAAATAAACGAATTTTTGTTATTATGGTAATCGATAAAATATATACGAGGTAACTCGTAAAATATAAATTGAAAAAATTTAGAAGTTTTACGCTAATGGTTGTAGGTTTTAATTACAAAAAAATACGAGGAAAAATTGCTCTCTTTGTCTGTCATTCGTCTTCTTCTCTTTGTCAATTCATAGAACGCAGTCACCGACCAGCGATTGTACATCGTTCTCATTGGTTACGTTGGACGTGTAGCTTCGTTATTATTGGGGGGGCGTCTTTTCGGGAGGAATGGGGGGACTGGGAACGTCTTTTCGGGGGGAATGGGGGGGACTGGGGGCGTCTTTTCGTTAATATTGTGGTACGACTCCACCATTAGTCGATGCACGTCTTTCTCATTGGCCGTTGATGCACACCATTGGCCTCCAACGTCACGAGGATGTCCGCCATTGGTTGAGGACACGTTTCAGTGGCATCATTGGTCGAGAAAAACGTTCTAACGTCACGAGGAGGGTGTTACTATGACACCATTGGTCCCTCATCGCTATACCGCCATTTCTATGTTGTTTATTCAAATTCTAAGCTGTCATTGGTCGCTGGGGGTGTTGCTATTCCCACCACTGACGCTGCTATGTTGCCATTGGTCAACGACACGTTCCGACGTCACGAGGACGTCCTCCATTGGCCAGCAGGCCATTGGGGGACGTTCCTATGCCACCATTGGTCTGCTATTCCCACCACTGACGCTGCTATGCTGTCATTGGTCGACGACACGTTCCGACGTCACGAGGAGGGCGTTACTATGCCACCATTGGCCTGATATTCCCACCACTGACGCTGCTATGCTGTCATTGGTCGACGACACGTTCCGACGTCACGAGGAGGGCGTTACTATGCCACCATTGGCCTGATATTCCCACCACTGACGCTGCTATGCTGTCATTGGTCAACGACACGTTCCGACGTCACGAGGAGGGCGTTACTATGTCACCATTGGTTCCTCATCGCTAGACCGCCATTTCTATGATGTTTATTCAAATTCTGAGCTGTCATTGGTCGCTGGGGGTGTTGCTATTCCCACCACTGACGCTGCTATGCTGCCATTGGTCGACGACACGTTCCGACGTCACGAGAACGTCCACCATTGGTCAGCAAGACATGGGGGGACGTTCCTACGCCACCATTGGCCGAGGGGCGTGGTCTAGAGACACGAGGTACGTTCCTACGTCACCATTGGTCGAGGGGCGTGGCCTCGAGACCCTAGGCACGTTCCTACGTCACGAGGGGGGCGTGGCCTTGGCCCATGAGGATACGTACGCTTGACGATCGACGTGTGACGTCACTTCCGCTCCAGAAGGAACACTATCTACCTACTTTTATCATAGGTTTGTCATCTTTGTTTGACATTAGTTTAGTTTTGCTGAAATTCATTTTTAGTCCTTTTTTAGGGATTCTGTGTATAGCTCCCCAATAATCGTGTTCAGTGCATTCCACGTGCCGGCTATTTGTACTATAGATTGACGAATTTTATATCTTGACTGTTTGTAATATTTCCTTTTACACCCCACCATGTGTCGTTAGGTTATGTTTCGAATTTTGTGACTATTATAATGACTCTTCGATATTTAACTTAATTTTTTACTTGTGACACGATGTTTGTTCTACTATGAGGGCGTTTTGTTAGAATAGACGACCAGTTCCTGTATATATTATTTATTAAACACAAACTTATTAATTACATCTAAAGAATCATAAGACAAGTCTGTAGGCTGTCAATGTCTGTCGCCATCTTTTCACTTCCGGGTTTGTTCTTCTATTTCACATGTCACTAATGTTAAGGTAGATTTACAACTTAACACAACATAACAACTAGCTTCTGATCGCTTTCTATGTCTGCCGATGTTAGTGCCCTTGTGTGTAAGTGTGAGAGAGATGGCATTAGACAAAGAATCTTTTTGCCACAGAAAAGTTAGTGCCCTTATATCTTAAATTTTTTGATGGGAAGTAGCTTTCTATTTGAGAGAATATAGTTAATCGTAGATCTTTGTCCACCAAGAACGTATTGTATGCAGTGCTTTGTTCAGCAATAACGATAGATCTATGTAGGCATGATGTCTTAGTATGTCTGGACTTTATTGGAAAGAATAACTTAATATTTAGCTATACTGAATCACTTGACTATTTAGAAAATTATATTTCTACAAAAATAGTTTGATAAAATTGTTTCATACATGTGAGTTTTCTCCATCAACTCATACTTTTGTTTCTACACATTACTACTACACATTAGTACTACAATTGTTTCATGTAAGTGGCGACTTCTAAAACCTACATTTCTAAATAGATTACTGCACAGTCGTCTTCACTTGTTGTCCTCGTTTTTATAGAGTTTGGCCTTATAGATAGCTGTCTAAGGGATGAAATAAAAGAATTGTTAGATGAAAAGTAATATTTATTGTTATTATTATTTTGACACATTTGATATTAGAAAATGGTAAATTATAATGAGAGTTCATACTCATACTTTCACACCCTGTACAAGAATTACAACTGGAGAAACAATCCCTTCCATCGGTAAAATCCGGGTTAAAAAACTACACCTTATTAATATAAAGTCTTCCTTGGACCAGAAGAAATTTAGGCACTTGGTAGAGTGGCGGGAGGTACTGAAAACACTCTCAGGTGTTTTGCTATGAATGTGGCTGCTGCAAAGGATGATGTATAAGTTTCTCCTGTTGAAGAATCTGGTGTGCTGCACGATCCATTTCCTCCTGAGTCATATCCAATGCCTCTTGCATCTCTTTCGAGGTGTAGCGCACAAAATCCTGATCACAGTACTTACCTAAGCCTTGTTCGGCTAGGATTCGGCCTACCAGGCTTTCCGCAGAGCCTACGACTTCGAAGGAAGCAAGTCTACGGTCAGCCGGACTGCCAGGCAGTGAATGGCTAAGACGCTCTGGCCCCACGTGACCATTTGCTTCACCTGCTCCAACTGAAACCAATAGAAAAATTAATATTTGTTGACTTAATTTGCTATTAAGAGAGAGTAATAAATCACTTTCAAGTGTATATTCCATATGCGTATTTAACCACACAGTTTATTATATTAATTTTTTACGTACCTAATATATAATAAGAAATAAAATATTTCTAATGAAAAATGGTGGAAATTCTACGAAATGGCCCAAAAAAAGTTATTTCTGAACACAGGTCGTTAATCAACAACAAATCTCAAGGTAGATGGGGTTTTTAAAAACAAATATGCCACACCTGCTCTTCCAAAAACATTTTTTTAAAACTGTCTAGTTAGTCTCTTTGTCGTGAATCTATTCTAATGCATTCTATAGCAAAGAAAAGACTGGGTACCTAAGTAGATATTAGTCGGTTATCTGAAGGAAAAAGTGGATGTGTAAAATAACACAACCATACTTAGTATGATTTAAAAAATCTATTTAGGAAGACGAAAAAGATCATGAGGAAAAAAGTACATTCCTTCTATTTTAATAACAAAATTCGGACCACAAACAAAATTTTGAGAACAGTGAGATAAATGTTCTTGAAATAAGAAGAGATAGCTTTTGGGAAATTGTACATCAATTAATCTTTTTGGAGAGAAAAAAGCATTAATAATTGAAAAAGGTAAAATTATATATATATATATATATATATATATATATATATATATATATATTGGGAAATTATTTACGAAAAATAAGACATTTCTGCAATCAAAATAAGAATTTAAACTATGGCAAAGTAATTGTAAAAGTTGTAAAGAATGAAGATAAATTACCACTCATATCGGTAATGCAGATGTTTGTTTGATTGGTGTTTAAGTTAATTCATACCGTTGAGCACGGGAAATGTTTTGAGCACATGATAGAGCTCCATGATGACTATTTTGGATGACTGACAATAACTAATGTTAAACTAGAAACTTGAAAAATGTTGTCCACTTTGTAAGCGTTTTACATAAATAATTGAAGTTTATAACTCTCTCTCAATACCAAATAAAATGTAGGACACAAATACATTACCTTTCCAATTCCTCTACAATATTTTGTTTACATTATATAATTAAATAATCTCAGTTTTCTCTACAATAATATATTAAATATAAGTACTAATAATCTATGAATATCAGTTTGTTTTTCTACCTGGCAGATCATTTATAGTATTAGTGATAAAGGTGCAACAATATTAAATTTAACAAAACTTTATGGACCGATTTAATAACTGCCTATTCTACTACTTCTGAAGTTATTGTCAAGCGCACTTAGTCACAGTTAAGTGAACGAAAATATTGGTTTATGAAAGAATAGAGACATATTTTCTTGATGTATAATATGCGCGCAGTGGTCAAAAATAGATGCAACGTATTTTATTCTTCAGAAAATCGCCAAAGTCTTCGAAAAACTGAAGAGCAGCGGTAGAAAATGTGTTGCTAGAGAGACATAAGAATTATCATATTTTCACAAATGCTGCACACTTATCCAATACGAGCACAGTTGCATTTCCGTCTTATCTTCAGAAAACTACTGAAGCGCTTTCAGTAAACTGAGGAACAACCACACCGACAAGTGCTGCTAGAGCGGCACAAGACATCTCACGTTTCCATGCATGCAGAATACATACCTGACCTCAACAAAGCAACAGCACCATTTAATTTTCAAAAAACGCTGAATCATAATTAAATAAGTATCACCCGTCTATCCAAATAGATGGTGCTACAGCTGAAGCTGCTTAACAATTATTAACAAGATTATTAAATTTTAATGTGGTACAAGCTAGAGGTGAGATTAACCATCTAATTAGATGAAATAGTCACTCGAGAAGGCTTTATAATGATGATTTTGCCAACTTTCTTACTTTAACAATCATAAAATAGTTTCGAAACACAATTCAGATTTCTGCTTTATAATCTGAGCCTTCTAAAAATTACAAGGCAAACAGACGTTGATAAAAGATGTTAAAAGAGACATGAGGAATCTAAAATTTGCATTCCACGACATGTCTTTTACAACTAAGCAGAAATCCTTAGCGAATTGTGCTTCTTGTACTCACACAGAGTAAATCCGAATAAAATGAGAAAAGGCAGCAAATATTTGATTTCACGCAAACAAATCCTATGTATCTCTTGATACGTATTTCGACCTAATAGGTCTCGTCAGAAGAGCTATTCATAGGGTTTCTCGACGTGAAAAATCAATATTTTCTGCCTTTTAAGAAGCAACAATAACATGGCTTCAATACGGACGCAATTTCGAAACTATTTTACGATTGTTGTAATTAGATGTCGCTTTCTCTGTCATTTGTTATTAGGGACCTCAGGTATATTAAAGTATTTACTATATCAAAGCCCCCAATTTCTTTAATGTGTTGAAGATTATTACGATCATGAGTAATGGGGACATATATGTAATACAAAAAAAAAAGAAAATACAAGCGGCACAAAACAGCAGCCTAAGAGAAGCAGTCAACGTACTGAGATACGTTGCAGAAAGGTTTCTCTTTCTACAACAAATTAGAGTGACTGATATAATGAAGGAAAAAGCAAGGACAAAGTTAACGGAGATAGAGAACCATCCTAGTCACATATTGCGAGAGATCATGAGGTACGACGCTTTCCACAGATGGAAACACAAAAGACCGAAACAACAAAAAGTAGATTAATATCAAAATACTAGAGAGAAAATTAACAAACACACCAGAGAGAACTCAAAACACCAGAGAGAAAACACTACAAAAAACAACAACAACAACGCACAAAGAAGATAGTTCGTAGCTCATAACACTCGTGGACAATCGCAAAATACAACGTGGGCCCAGTTACCTTAAGTGGACAAACTTTATATTGTCATATTGTCACATATTTGCATATATTTTTCAATGTTATAATATAGATATTGTACTAATTCTGGCTTTTTATTTTAGACTACCTACAAAAAAATCAAAGAACATACAAAAAACGGCCTCTCCCCACAAAAATTTAAAAACTAACAAAAACTGGCACAAGCCAACAAAAAAAAACTAACTTTTCCAAAAACCCGGGCACGTAGGGCCCAACCCCTTGAGCATCAAGTCACCGAACTGAGCCTAGCTCAGAGCGGAGACTTGAGGCCCAAGTAAGTAATTTTAGTTCGCGGATAAGCCACAGTAAGATAACAGGATTATAGCGACAATATGCTGTGCTGAGTTTTGAATTCGGTTAGGAAACCATGTTGTAGTTCTATTACCCAGGACTCCCACATGAAGACCATTTGGGTGATAGTTGTGCTGTGCCCCTATCGCGCATTAGAGTGCTATAGGGGGAAAGGGATGGTCTGGAGCATTGGAGCGCGGTGGAGTGACTCCGGTTTTTACTCGAGTTAATACACCTCGCTCCAATGAATTGTTACACCCAAACGTAATTTTTAGGGAAGAACATGTCTCACAGGCTGGGTTTAATTAAATTACTTGCTTGCTTGAAGGTGCTTTAGTAGCTTTCTAAAGATAATGCGGAACTGTAGCTATGCTGCTATTGAATAAGTGTGCAGCATTTGTGAAAATATGATAATTCTTATGCCTCTCTAGCAGCACATTTTCTATCGCTGTTTGAAGTTTTCTGAAGACTCAAATACGATGCATCTATTTTTGACCACTGATTCATATTCAGCGTGCAAATATGCATCAAGAAAATGTGTCTCTGTTCTTTTATAAAGCAATATTTTCGTTCACTTGACTGTAAAGTGCGCTTCACGTACATTAATCACGTGAATCCAATAACTTTAGGAGGCTGTCGCTTCAGAATAATAGTTTTCAGACCAAGGTCCCATTGAATTTTTTAATCTACGTACTGAGAACTATCATTGATCGAACTTTAGTTATAAGAAGAAAGCAGTATGTAATATTTCGATGGCTAGATATGCAAAGGACATATAGGTCTTACATGTAACACGTAAAAACTGTATGACAATTTTTAAAAAAATAAAAGCAGAGTAGAAGTTTTAACATTGTAGTACATTGAAACGTTACCTGTATGAAATCAAACTGATTTGTGAAAAATACTAATTTTTTATATATGTCAAATTTCATATAAAATCATCCTTTCTTGATGCCAAAAATACGTTTTTCAAATTTAAAGGCACGCTCCTCAGAATAATTTTTTCCCTTCATACCTTAAAAGTGAAGAAAAAAATATTGCCGTCCGCCGGGCGGAAAGTATGGATCGGTTTTCAAACAATCATTAAAATTTACTCATCAAAATTTTACTGCATTTTATAAATCCCTAGTGTCTGTTTTATAGCCCATATTGTGACTCTTATAAAAAAATGAAGATCTTTACTTCTACTTTTAAGAAAAGCGTAGTTGTAGTATAGCTAGAGTGTAGGTAGTATAGCTTATAAATGGTAAAATAGTTCATTAGAAAAAAGTCTATACAGTGGTACCTCGATACACGAGCGCCCTAATATACGGAGCCGCGGAGCGATTGATAGTTTACTTTGAGATGAGAGCAAGAGACGAGAAATCGGTTTTTATTCAAATTCATACCTCTTATTTGACTACTTCTAATTTGCTTTGTAAATAAAAGGTAGTTTTATGGGTAATAGATCTTTACGGCCTCGCCATAAAGATCATTTTACGGGTCTGTACGTGACTATTACTTGGACCGAAGAATTAAATGGTCATTGGAAGATAAATCCGAGCAAAACTTCAGATTCTAATACTAACCATATTGCACTCCCGATGTCTGTGTAATTTACACTGTGTAAATTTTTACTATAGACCTCAGTCTATCTGCTTTGCTTGTTTCCTTAATTTTCGAAGTATTGTTGATAAGTTGGGTTGGCGTTTTGTGCTTTTTGTACGTACATTATAATATTACATTAATTTTTACAACCACGGATTCAAAGAAGAAGATTACGTCTATTGAATTAAAACGTGAAATCATTGAAAAAAATGCGCAATCTATACGAGTAATTGACTTGACGAGGAAGTACGGGCGTACCACAT